ACCCCAGTGACGCGGCCGTGTCCAGGGCTTTCAGGGAAATGTCCAAGCGTCTCCTGTGCGTGACATCCGTCTGGAAGGTGAAAACCTTGCAATGGCAGCTCGGTACCTTGAGCAAGAAGCGCAAGCTTGGAGAAGGCTTGTGGACGGAGGAGCCGGACGACGAGCAGCCCGGGCACCAGGACTGGGAGACGTACCTGGACAGGCTGTTCACGTTGCTGCTGGCCTACGCCCTGGGCGGGGTCAAGGCGCTGGACAAAGCGCCCTCGGCCAAGGAGGAAGACGTGCTCGGAACAAACACCACGAAGTTCGTCTTCGTGCCACTGGACGTGGTCATGCGCTACCACGCGAGAGCCCGGCGCACCTCGGCCAGCCTGCCCCATGCCAGCCGACTCGCATGGCTCCTGCAGAGGGACACCGAGGAGAGGGCAGACTGGGTGAGCCGTTTCAGGGAGTCCACCCTGACGCTGGGCCAGGTCATTAAGGCCACGTACGAAGCACGGGATGCCCACTGATTCCCCGGGGGAATTTCTCGGCGCCGACCAAGGAGCGCCAGCAGGCGTCACCTGCCAAGCCGGCAGCACGGGGGGGCAAACCCCCGTTGGCGAAGCCGATCGCGGGGAGAGCGGTCGCACGCGCCATGAGAGATGGCACCGTGCTATGCCAAGCTTTTCAGCACGGGCAATGCAAGGCGGGGCAGTCGTACCCCAACGGCCAGCACAGGTGCGCTGCGATCCTCAGGGGCGACCGAGTCTGCGGGGTGCAGAACCACGGAGCCAAGGAGTGTCGGGCGGCGAAGAAGTCTTGAGGGTGCCCTGGGGGGGAGGGGGACTCCCCCATAGGGTCAGAACTCTCGCACCCCCACACCGGATCCCAGGAAGACGGCCCGTTGATGGTCGACCTCAATGTGTGGTCCCAACATGCCCCTGGCAAAGGCGTTTCTCTTCTGTGGCTGGAGGGTGCTGCCCATCGACTGGTCGCTGGACCCGGGGCACGACCTGTCCAACCCGTTGAGGCAGCAAGCACTGGAGGCACCGATGCGGTCAGCAGCCTTCACAGCAGCAGCCCTGGACTGCTCCACGAAATCCAGGGCCAGACAGATCCCTAGAACCTTTGCAGGTCCCAAACCGCTGCGTTCTGAAGTACACCCAGAAGGTTTGCCCGGGCTTGATCCCAAGAACCAAAGGCGGGTGGATGTGGACAATGCGGCATGTTCCTGGATTCTGAGGTGCCCAGAGTCACTGGGCGGCGGCATAGGCAGGCCAGGGGATCTGTGCTCAGGGCAGCGGCTATCATGGGATCGCTGCGCGGCAGTGACGCCCTGCAGTCGATGTCACTCTGGTTTCCTCACAAAAAAGTGATTTTGGCCTTTCGCAAGCTCTATCCGGCCGAGTGGTTCCAATCTTTTCAGTGGCCCATGTTGGAGGACCTGTTGAGTCAGGAACCCTTTACTTGCTACTTGGACTGGCGCCAGAGCCGCGGGATGGAGTGGGACGGGCCCTTGGGGCCACCCTCCTCGTCCAACGCTAGTCGGAGGCCAGCGGCTGGCGGAGGGCAAGCAGCATGGAGCCTACAACCACAAGGCCTCCATCCCGCCTCTGGTAGGATATGGGCTGGATGCAGACACCCATTTTGCCGCATCCCTGCAGTGGACGGCAACCCCGTTGGAAGTCCTTCCCACGTTGGACGACGACCTGTGGTACGCGGCCAGCATGGTGATGGACAGCAACAACCTGAAGGAGCGCCGTCGGGCGTCCATCGGGGCCATCAAGGAGCTGAAGCGCAGGCCTGAGCCAGCTCAAGCGGTATGCCAAAGGAGACCCCTACCGGCTCATACCTCGTTGTGTCATCACACAGGCGTCCGGCAAGCAACGTCTAATAGACGACGCAGCACGGGGCGGCAATCCGCATCGTCAAGAGATGCCAACAAACTTGTTTTGTGCACGCCGCTCCGCCCAGCGCTCCACGTCCAAGCTGCTGCAGCCTGCCTTCAGGAGTGCACCTGGGAGCGGTTCGCGCAGCAGGGGCAGTGGACGGGGGCTGGAGACGATTGGCCGAATGTACCGCCACTGTCCTATGTCACGACAGGAGGCCCTGGCCTGTGTGGTAGTCTGGTACCACCAGGAATGGCAGGGGCCCGCCTTCCAGGTGTATCACGCCCTATTGTTCGGCCTTCCGTTGGCGGTCACCTCCTTCAACCGCTACTCTCGGATGGCGGAGGCTATGGGCAGGCGCTTTCTGGCAATCATGGTGTCCATGTATTTCGATGACAGTCACATCACCGACCGCGCAGTCCACGGCCCATCAGCCCAGTGGAGCTTTGGCGTCCTCAATGACCTGCTGGGCACCCCTTTTGCCGAGGAGAAGCGCCAGGGAGCTGCGGATGTCGGTACCTTCTTGGGTCTTGACTTCGACCTCTCGGAGATCCACACACCCCCGTACTGGTGCTCCTTCAATGCCTGGATCTCGCCTAAACCGATGGGTTCGAAGAGGCCATGCTCCAGGAAGTTGACCATGCCGTAGAGTTTCGCGGCTTGACCCGGGGTGAACTTCCCGCTCTTCCTGGCGTCACGCATGAAGGTGAGCACCTTCTGCTCGAGTCGCTCTCGAACCCAAAACCGCTCGGCGGCAGCTTCCTGTCGGCTTTTGATGTGTTGGAGGCCATCATCAGTATGCGCCCCAGGAGGGAGCTGATGGTCCTACCCATGGACGTGCCGAGGGTGGTGGCTGCCTCGAACCCGGCCTTGGAGGCACCCCGTCAAGGGTCCGGCGGATACCACTTGGTCTTCCAGGACGGTGGCGTGCAGATCCGGGAAGCCTTTGTGGCCGTCTCGCAGGTCTATGACATGTGGGGACCAGGCGACCATAAAATAGCCCAGTTGGAGCTATTCATGGTGGTGCACGCCCTCACGGCGAGACCCGACCAATTCCGCGGGAGACGCGGAGTGTGGTTCATCGATAACATCGCCAGTCTTATGCGTTTTATCAGGGGCAGGAGTGACAACCCCGACTTGGCCAAGATGGCGACGTATATTCAGTGTTTGCTCTTTGCGTTGCGAGCCTCACTTTACTGGGAATACATTCCATCCAAATCTAATTGGGCCGACGCGATCAGCCGATTAGGACCCAGTGACCCATGGTACAGGGCCAACCACTTCAAGCTGAATTTCAGTCTTTTCCCTCCAGCTCTACTGAGTCTTCCGTATCGCGCAGTGATTACCTTCGCTGAGTTCCTGTGAGTGCATTGGGAGAGGTTGTGAAAGTAAGTGCTTTGGGAGATGTATCCTGCTTGATGCAGGGCATCCAGAGCTTATCGGGGGTAAACCCGATGTGCCGAGGAAATCGGCGAATTGACTGGGCCACAGCATGAGGAAATTCATGCTGTGGATACCAACGCAAATCCCACAGGCAAAGGTGGGTTATCAGACTCGTATAGCATCGCTTGGAGTGAAAATGCTGCGGTGCTGTTTATATCAAACCTCCTTGGGAATGTAATCCTGTATCAGGTTGGAAGGCCTGGGTTTACAGGCTTCATTCCGCAAGGAGTGTATTGGATCATGCGGGGCCTTTTGGCTCAAGTATGATCCAAACTGGCTAAATTTTAACCCCACCCTATCCCGCCCTAGTTCACCGGCCCCCCCAGTTGGGACGTCCGTGAACTTTGAAGAGCGCGCCGCGCTTGGGGAATGCCTGGGGGACCAGGCCCCCAGTCAGTCAGTTAGCTCTGTGGTGGGACAGCAGCAGGAACTTCACGTCGGCGTTCAGCCCCACGCAGGCCAGGTCCGCCCAGAGCGCCATGTCCAGCTGCGTGATCTCTTCCACAACCAGCCAGTCCAGCTTTTGCGCGCTGCCGCCGCGCACGTACCTGCGCACCCAGTGGTCGGCCGTCTGCGCCCCCAGCCCCAGGTTCTGCGCGGAGCAGTGCGTCTTGGACACCAGGTGCACCGCCTCGCCCTGCTCTCGCAGCCTCGCAACGATCGTCCGGGCCAGGTGCGTCTTTCCGGTGCCCGGCAGGCCCGTGAGCAGCAGGGAGTTGCCCGCCAGGCAGTGGTTGACAGGGTCGTCCGCCTCGTTCCACTTCCGTTGTTTGGGGCGCTCCGCCTCCATGCGCGGCGCCCTGCTGCTACCCAGCAACGGCTTCGTCTCTTCCACGCGGTAGACCGGCGTGCCGCCCGGGTGGCGCGCCCGCAGCCGCTCCGTCAAGCGCTTCGGCAGCCCGATGTGCCGAGGAAATCGGCGAATTGACTGGGCCACAGCATGAGGAAATTCATGCTGTGGATACCAACGCAAATCCCACAGGCAAAGGTGGGTTATCAGACTCGTATAGCATCGCTTGGAGTGAAAATGCTGCGGTGCTGTTTATATCAAACCTCCTTGGGAATGTAACATCAAATAGTTATGCTCTGTGTAACCCAGAGGGCAATGGTTGCAAAAGCTATACAGGTTAGGATGCGCATGCGAATTGCACCGAACGTTGCTCATGCAAATCCCGTAGGAAACATCAGGAAATTCCTGTATGTCGTGCATTTCCATTTTGGTGTCGTTTTTCAAGAGCTTGGGCGCCCAGTTTGATTCCGTGATACGGTTCAAGTGTTTCTTGTTTGTTTCGGCCATAATGTCTCAACATGTCCGGTCCTCTTTGGATCAACAGCACACGCGGGCCACAAAAACTGCAAGCCTCGATTTGTTGAGCGGCTTTAGCCGTGCAGAAGCGGCGGGAGAAAGGAAAGCAAGGAATTCAGTTCGGTGCATTTCTCAGTTGAGCGTTTCCTTTGGGGGTACCTTTTGGGGTCACAGGTTGTTTTCGCTTTGCCCGCAAACAGACACACACACACACATACCCGTTTTGTTTGGTTTGGGTAAACCCCAATGGGAAGCCGAAGGGAAGCCAGAGCCCAAGCAGCTATATACTCATGCATGTTGTTTTTCCTTCCTTCTCGAAAGAGATTGGCGCATTCCCATTCCCGCGTTGCGCATGGCGCGTCTCGCAACGGATCTCGCAGGGGGGCGATCACTGGGACTTAGAGGATGAGCAGGATTTGCAAGAGATCCTTGCAAAGGCGACGGGTTCGCGGTCGTTTCCCTTTGGTTGTTGGCAACCGGATCTGACAAAGGTTTTTGCATCTACGGGATGGTGTACCAATTGCTGCTAACTTGAAGCGAGCTTTCCATCTTGGTTTGGTGATGTAGAGGAAAGTTTAATACAAACGGGCAATTATGCAAACACCCAGACAGAGTCACCGCGGCGCACAGGCGATTGAGAACACGCAAGCAGGCACGCACACACGCACGCGCATGCACGCACGCACGCACCCACAGCAGCCGCAAAGCACACAACAAACATGCGGCAATCAATTCAGAAGAGGCACCCTTGGCGATGTGATTCTTGGCTGACAGTCTTGCTGACACGCTGCAAAAACCAGGGTTTTCTGCATGTGCACGCGCTGGCGGCTTTCTGACACCGGCCCTCGAGAAAAGCAAAAAAGCAAGAAAAACAAAAACACCTCGAGGAAGTCCCATTATGTTTTTTTTTGGTTTGTTTGGTTTTCTTGACGTTGTTGTTGCCTTCTGTTGTGTTTTTGCTTTCTCGAGTTTTTTAGGGTTTTCTGAGATGGTCAGTGTCAGATGCCACAGAACAATCTGCGTTTTGCCTAGACGCCAGCAAGTGAACATGCAGACAACCCTGGTTTTTGCCTGGGAACTTTGTGGAGGACCACACCTTGTGAAGACTATCTGAGTATAGTCTTTTTGTTTGAAGTTGGGGGGGGGTTCTCGAGTTGTTTTGTGTTTTTGCTCGAGTATTTTTTTTTTGTCATGGTCAGTGTCAGAAGCGACAGGAAGATGTTCATTTGGCCTAGGCGCCGTGCCTGAAGTCTCCATTGCACACCCTACCCCTTAGTCTTCCTTTTCTCCCTTTGGTATTGCACTTGGGCGACCTGTTTAACACACTCATCCTGGACTGCAAGACTCCTGCCGCACCAGCAGGACACGCTTGGACAGCTAAGCCACTCTGCATTATTTCTTTATGAGTCCTACTTAAAACCTTTGTCAAACTCTACTCAATTTCTAACTGAAATTATAAAGACCTTAACAGGACATAATCCAACCATGTTTTTCATTTGAAACTGGAATTGCAGTAATAATTATTTTATGGCAAATGAAATGTTGCACAGGATTCCTGTCCAATAGACTTGTGTTTTCAATTCAGTAAACATTTAACACGACATTCAACAAGCTTGGGACCTCTCAATTCTTCCCTTATGAGTTCTTGTTTAATATATTTTAAGAGTATACTAAGTTCCCAGGATCATGCTGGGGGAATACTGGCAAAGGATTGCTTGGGGAAGAGTTAAACTGGATTATTCATATTTAACATCAATTGCTGCGCAGGCTTCCCACAGGAGTATCTTTCCCATAGAACTGTCTTTTCAAGTCAGCAAACATCTAAACAATGTGGACCTCAGAATTCTTTCCTCATGAATTCTTAGTTAATATCTTTAAACTTTATCAAATTATACTAGGAGAATAGTACGGGAATACTGAGGAAGTACTTGGATAATATTTCGGAAATGCCGGGGGAGTGCTGAGGGAACCCTAGAGGCAAGAGAATACTACGGGAATAGAGGAATGCTAGGGGAATATGGAGGGAATGATAGGAATTTTCAGGAAACAAAAGGGCATACTAAGGGAATACGAAGAGAATACATGAGAATACTGCGAGATTTCTAAAGGAGTACCGGGGACACAAGGAAAGCTGACCAATTGCAGCTGCATCTGCAACAAACATATGTAAACTATTTGCTGAAGTGAGAAAAAAAACAACCCTGATGCTAGTTCATAAAGCATGCGCTTGTTTGGGCCCTCGACATCAGTATGTCTAGAAAATACTGTAACAGACAATGTTCTACAGTAAAAATCTTGAGAGCTTGCTGGAATTCTACCTTAAATAACGTGTGTTTGCCTAGTCCCCAGCACTTCCACACCCATAAAGCAACGTAAAAATACAGTGTGTTGTGTCATTTTCCATCACACATCACATCGCCACCAACACCTGCTCTCAATCAATTGGGGTGAGAGTTTCTCTGCCACACACACACAGGCAAACGCCAAGTTTGCTTTGCAGCTTTTCATAAACACTGTTTCGGGCAAACATCGAAACAGCAAATGTGTGCTTGAAGAATGTGTCAGCGGCAAGTCTGTCGGTTTCTAGACTGGCAACCATTTTTGCGCGACAAGGGTGCCTGCACACAGACACAGGCACACAGACACACACACATGCACACAGACACATCGACAGACGCAGACACAACACACGCACACAGACACCAAATGCCTCGTGGGTATGCCCGAAAAGCGTTGTGTTTTTTGGGGGGACGCTGCGTGACGAGGTGCAGAAGTTGCAAGAAGCTGTGAGCGACCTGGAGTCTCAGGCGAACAAGATGGGGGATGGCCTCTGGCTGAGGACAGTGGGTTGATTGCGAGGGTTGCGAAAACCCAGTCTTGGAGAAAACCATTTAAGTTTATGTTTTGACATTTTTGACTTTGTCAGCAACCCAGTTGCAGGTGAACGATTACACAGAATTTGCACAGATTCTCCATGCCGGGTGATGACGAGCGACCAGTTTCAATTTTGGACCCTTTGGTGGACATCATTTAGGCTCGGATTTCAGCCAACAGGAGAGCTTTTCTCGTGGAACTCCACAGCCACCGGGTTCTTGTGATGCCTGAAAGCTGGCCATATGGCTAAGCCCAACAATTCTCTGTCGGAAAGAAGAGTTGAGTCTGAGGTTGCGCGTGGTATTCATGTCGAAATCCATTCGCACGCCTTTTTGGTAGATCCAAACTTGTCTTGATTGCTCTTTGGTTTCACCTTGACCGAATAAATGCTGTTGAATCGCTGGTGCCGCGACTGTTGAATTACTGCTGCCCCAAAACCAACACATTGGGGGTGCCGTTTTTCGGGGACCCCCAAAAATGCTTGGGTTTCCTGTTGGTTTCCCTTTCAAACCAACCAAGAAGGGTACCATCCTGAAAAAAGACGAGCCACCCATTTTTGCTCTTGGGAGTGAAGATCCCAGCACCAGACACGCCCAGCGACTGCCCAAAGGAACGTGCCTCCCGCGAGTCAAGCAGCTACCGTCGAAAACGGAGTCAACGAAAAGCAAAAAATCGACCCACACCTCGGATAATTTGTGCGTCGGCTTTTTCTTTCTGGGGGGAAAGCCAGGTCCGAACACTTCCTGGCTGGATACAGGAATAGGTGGTTTTGTCGATGTTTTGTATTTGAGGGAACATGACTCTCACGAAAATACGCCATATAGTTTGGATTTCTACATATTCTCTAGTTAGCCCGTAGGTGGCTTGACCTCCCAAAGTTGGGTTTCTACCGGTGCGGGACAAGGGGCAACGAACCAAGCCGGTTATGGCTCCCCTGAGTTGAGAAGCCTCCAAAACCTCGTGCTGAGGGAAACCGACCGAAACTCGGGAGGGTCTGAAACCCGCTTAGAAACAAGCACATGTGAACGAAGCTGCCCAACTTGAGTCCGACCTGGTATTGTGTGAAGGCCTCATTTAATGCTGAAGCATGAACAATATGTATTGATGTTTTGAGACGGTCCCAGCGTGCAATGTTTTTGTACTTATCTTTTTCTAAGCTGCCTGCGCAGACTTGCTCGCAAGTTTGTACGGTGCAGTCCCCAAGGACGAAATTACATCCAACAGCGCTTTGCCGAGGTTTAGTTGCGCTAACTCGGAACCAATTGGTTGGCATCTTGCATAAAACAAATGGATCCCATCTTTGTTGCGACTGATTAAGGTTCACCCAGATTGCTTGCATATTCCCATTGGGTTCCGCAGAGTGTCCAAAACTCGTTGGTTTTTCCCTGAAAAAAAAGAAGAACAAAAACACACCCTACTCGCCAGGAGAGGAAACAATGCATACACAATGCAGAAGATCCTCCTGATGCAGGATGGAGCGATGAGTCTTCAGCAAGCCTTGTCGGGCAGCATGGCAGTGCGACTCGATCTCGATCATGTTTTCTCATGGGTGTGCACCATGTTTTTTATTTTATTTTATTTGTTTGGGGGGGCATGGGAGGCCTATTAAAGGACCAAGCAATATGGATTGAAAAGGGAAGGCACGAAGGACTTCGGCCCCAAAAGGGGGTTTGAGACCCCTCTTCGCTCGAAATTTGCGATATCTGAGCTCGTGCACGAAGATTGAGCTCGTGCCCTGTTAGTTGTCAGCTAGTTTGTTTTTTCTTTGCGCGCCTTGAAAACAAGGAGAAGCCTGTGGAAATACAGATGGAGATCCATGAAAACAGGGCACATGCCAATCCAATCTTGGCATGTGCTTTCGTCAGGCTACAGAGTCTGTGTTGCACGATCACTGAGATCATGGGACAGAGCAGCTTTGTCTCTAATTAGGAGGCAAACTGAGTATTTCGCCTCAACCAGAAACGAGTTTCTTACGCTACCCCCCATGGCAATTCCAGGCGCAGGTATTTATGTTAAGCTCGGGAGCTCAGGGCAAGGCCAAGCGTAGCGAAACGGATGAGCCGTGCACCGGCCACCGGCCAAAACCAGCCTAAGGTTGAGAGCCCTCTAGGTGTTGGCCCTGCTTGTCCCCCTTTCAACCCGTTCTTTGGCTTGTGGTTCCCAAGGAAGAACCTTTAGGTTAGATCCCTGTTGTTGTCTCCCTTTGGGTGTGTCGTTTGTAGGCTGTCCCCCACCCGCCGGAAAAAAAAAGGGGGAACAAAAAAAGTACAATAGAAAAGACACTTTTTTCAACCCATGCTTTGTTGGTTGTTTCGCGTTAAGGAAGAACCTCCCGGACCGCGACAAGGAGCAGCGTCTGACCACGTTGGCCATTGCCCTGCAGAAGAAGATCTCATCTTGGACATTCCGCCCACGCAGGACCAGAAAAGCGTCAATTAAAAATGTTACCTGATACAATATAGGTAATGCAATCTTAGTACCCGCAGTTTTCATGGGTTTCAGGCGC